AACACCAACAAGCCATTGCCCTATCCACTGGAATTCTAGATTGCCAGATGTTTTAAAGGTGCAGTGTCTACCTATGTAAAAGTTGTCTGCTTTCTGTCTTAGCATATCAGACTATGAACAAAGACCTTCCCGGTGAATTAATATCCACTAATTTAAGGATTTTATTCCACTAGTCATTTCCGACTCTAGGAGGCGGTGCTCATCTCCATTTCAAAGCCATTGAGCCAGCGCTTTCCGAAGATGTTTCTGCAGTCATGAGGCCTGCATGACATCATGGAGTGCTGTTACCTCCGGACTGAAGTGGTATCTACTCGCATATGCATGCTCTCAAACTGCTACAGTAATGGCCAAAATTGTGGAAATCATTTGGGAAAAGTGTATTTTTTAGGTTTGATGGCTAATAACACCACTTTTCTTTTTGGAGTAGTACCATAAAATTATATATCAATGGAAAGATAATTTAATCAAAAATGTAATGCAACATAGTTTGTTCAATTATCTGTACTGTATTCTATGAAACGTTATAGCCAAATAACCAGAAAAAGGAAGCACAACTTGCTTAGGTTGATATCGGGTAGCTTTCCTTCATCTGATTGTAGCCAATGAGCATGAGTGTTTAGAGAGCCAATCAGGTGTCATCTTGTTTTGGCAATGAGCCAATCAGATCAGTAGGATTCAGTTACTGATGTCATGTATTGAAGCTGAGAGGAGGACATTTGTCAGTGTGTTATGTGATTGCTATCAAGTTGGTTGGGGCTTTTTGTGTTCTTTCATTTAGTGAGCTTGTAAAACGCAATAAAATTAAAGTAAGGGTGCAAAGAGTTGACTGGTTGCCGAGAAAGCGATGTAAAATAGTATTATTAAGTGAACAAGGCTACAGTTATAAAGAAATTAGAAGAAAAATTAGTGGAAACTTAACCAAAGGTGGCATTTCTACTGAACACTTTTCCGAAAAGGTCTCCACAATTTTGGCCACTACTGTAGGTTGGCAGGAGCTGGAGTGAGAACAGGAGCTCACTCTATCAAATGGCGCTTGTGTCTCGAACCTGAGCTGCCAGCTTTCCAATCGACAAGCTCACCGCTGTAACCACTGAACGACGGCGCCACCTAATTTAAGGAGGGATGATCAGCTGTTGTTTCTAAGAACAATTTTTCTGTTAGATATACCTCTGTTCATACATTTACTAAATTCTTATGTTCCATTATGAGCTGATGCAATGGTCAGCCCAAAGTTTCTGGGGAATAAAACTGCTAAGGCCTCAAGGCTTATTCTGTATATTGCTACCCTAGTATCTTACTTTGGTACTAAAGGTAATGAACATTTTCAAATCTAAGTTATTTCCCAAAGGTAACCTCTTCAGTATTCAGACTTTGAATTAAATACGTAAATAATTCTGATTATTTAAATCTCTTTATTTTACAACTTTTAGTAGGATGGCAGATGTCAACCTAGCCACTGTTGGCAATTACTTGAAAGCAAAACTAATGATTTTGAACAATGGCTCCTAATTTTCTGTTCCTCAAGTTTCACCAAACACTTTCAAAGAATTTGGGCCTTACCACAACAGAAACAAGAGGCTTATTTTTTTCTGTTGCTGTATTTACTAATTACCAAAAATGTTTAAAACATCACTGATTTACTCTGTGGCACACCTTATTACTTTTGAGTCCACCTCCGAACATGGGTACAACTACTTGAAAATTCCTGGAGTACAATGACAACATCCTGAGTACAATGACAACATCACCTTTGCTGAAGGAATGTAGGCTTCTGAAAATAATAGTTCTTTGCTCATAAAATTACTTTAGAGCCAAATTTTCCCGCCCCCCCAAAAAAAATCCCTCAGCTTCCTACAGCATAATTTTAAGCAACTGTTTATCTTCTGCTTGCCTTCATCCCGATATACCTTTCAAGTTCAACAGAGACAAGACCCAAAGGTGTTTTTATTTTAAAGGCAGAAAGTCCAGTTGCTTTTAAAATAAAAGCATCTTTGGGGCAACCATGATCTGGATGAATGAGAACTTCCATAGGCAAGAGAAAAGATTTCACCACGACTGGATAGGGTACAATAAAGTCAAACCTTTATTAAAAAGTCATGATACAAAGTATCTTGAGGTAAATACATACAAGTGCATACAAAACATAATTCCATGCTAACTTTGCCTCCAAGAACTGCCACCTCATATGAATACTGTCTGAACAAAGAATCCAATTTTTCAGAATTCTTATGGCTCTAAAATACTGATTCAATTTCTTTTGAACATTTTTGCTGCTCATAAATAGGTTCAAGGTAAGCTTTTGAATAGCTTTCCTGTTTCATAGCTATTTTTTTTTAAAAAAAGCCCAGACTTTACCCTCTCAAGAGATAAAATCTCTCTGTTTTCTCTTTGTCTCCCATCCCCGGCTGCAGAAAGTCAGCCTTTGCTGGGGAAACAAATTTCTATTGCTATAGCAAAAAAGCTTTTACAAAAGTTTAAGAAATTCAGAAAATTCCTTATTAGCTCAGCATCTACATGCCTTCCTCCCACAAGATAGAAGTCTGTGGTATATTCAAAAATGAAGATCTTACTCTATTCCAAGGGAAGGATAAGAACTACAACCCAGATATCTGGATAGCATCCGGCTGTTTTAAATGTTGCTTTATATTTTTGGTCTTCTAACAGTTGAATATTTGGATTATGTCCTCCATTCCATCTGTCACCAGATGTAAAAAAAAGTTACTTATTTTAGAACATAGCAAAGGCACTTTGTATGGTATATATGAAATTGCAAATGTCCTCTGACAATCCTTCAAGAAGAGGAAACAGCACACATCACATCTGAATACCTTCGCAAATCCCGATTTATGTGGGGGAATTTCCAACCTGCCATTATATAATGAACATACAAAGCTAAAGGTGAACTAAAGTATCTCATTCCTTTTTTTTTTTTTGGTACCAGTTTTGCTTTACGCTCAAATACATTTTCATAGAAATCAATAATGAGAGGTAAAAAGTATATGGATGATCTGGTTTGCATTTGACATTCTTAAGAGAGGAATGTTAATACATTAATATCCTTTCCCAGTCTATATTCACATGAACACATAAGGCAAGGTGGTGATTTACATGAGCAGAAGAGAAGAGTTTTGGCATGGCCTGATTTTAAACTGGGGGGGGGGGCAGAGGTAGGATTCTATAATCCTTAAATTCCAGCTTCTTACAGGGTATCTTGAGATCGGGGTGGGGTGGGGGGGAAACTAACCATTTTTATTTAGATTCTGCTCCACAGAGTATTCAGTTAGCCTTCCCCCAAATCCTGCCTCCAGATATATTGGAACTTCAACCCATAATTCTGATAAGCAACAGGAAAGGAAGTGAAATATATCTAGAAAACATCAGATTGCAATAGGCCACGAGATAAGGCTCAGTTACATATTCCTGAACCAAAAGACCTACTCCCAATTGATCAGACATTAATACCTGGTGACAACTTTTACTTAGGGCTGAAATCAAAGAACTCCTAGCTGGCAATCCCACCTTATAAGAAGGGAAGGGAGGAATTTTGCTCTTTTTATCAGCAGCTTCTTTCTTTGCTTACTTGTCAGACGGGGTAGGGCAGCTAAGGACTGCAGCTAAAGTCTCTGGGCCTGGGATCGAAGACTTAAAAGTTTAAGAAAGAAACTGGCTGCAGATCTTACTTAACAGGCCAAGACTGGGTTCACCATTTTGGGAGATGGGCATGCAGGCAATTTAATTATACAAAGGAGATCCCAAAAAGAGGGATTTCACTTGCCCAAATTAAAACAGCAAAATGGTAATTAACTGCAGAGGCTGAGCAAAAATGCATTAGCTGTTACTCTCTACTTAAAGTTAGTACCTGGCTCATCTGTTAACTTGGTTACATCAACCAAATTTTAAAATGCATGCTAAGAGACCTCTATTATGCATTATTTTTTATATGGTACCTCCTTATTTGCAAGCTCACTTGCATACCCTGCTGCTCTGACCCCACCCCTCTTTCTATAAAATTATCTGAAAGGAAGTCTAGGTAAAGACGGGTGTGATGAACATAATTTACTTGCTACACAAAACTCTAGACTCCGTACAAGTGTTCAGGAAAGGTCTAAACCATTTGCGCCCTAAATATTTCCTCGGACTGTGTGATATCATCTTGAAAAAGGAAGGCACAAACTGTAGAAGGCACTGCAATGAGCACAGGGGGGCGGAAAAATGTCGCTTAAAAGCGACAAATGCCAGGAACGAAATTTTCTCTTTCACGAGTGAAATATTGTTCAACAGAAGCATCCAACGAAGGCACGTTAGGTATGGCTTGCCAAAGCAAACGTTTCAGCTCAGATTTCTTCTGCAGTCAATAGCAAGGCACTGAAGGAAAAGGATAATGTAGAGGCCCAAAAGGTCTTATTGCCCAGTGGACAAAAAGCTTTCGGCAGGAATAGGTTGAGGTGCAGCATTTCAGTACCGAACTCTGATGAATGGGAAAACATACATACAGTTTTGGTCCATTAACCCTGAGCCAAAGAATAACACTAGGCAAACTTAGTAAGCATGACCAAGCATTGATAGCAGGACCACAGTAACAGAATCATCTCTACCTTTTTCTTTCAAAACCACACTCTCTCTTGGTGATCTCCAGAGGGGGACTACAACTCGTATCATCCCCCTTTGACTAGGGATTGTGGAGGATCGTGCCCAGCACCTCTGGAGAGCATCCAAATGGAGAGAGCTGTTCTAAAAAAATAATACTCAAAATGCATGATGTTGAATAGCAAACACAACAGCTTACATAAATTTTCCAGGTTACTCAGCATTTCACCAATATTTCAGGTGAATCCAGTAGAGAAGACAGAGTTCAAGTAATGTTCATCTCACAGAAGAGTGGCCTTAAGCAGCTTACTCTTGTCTGAGCCAACAGCAGTATACCAAAGACACACAGATTTAACAGCCTGGATGGGCACATAATTGTGTCATTGGAGTCCGAACCCTTTGAGTGACGCAACCAAAAGACAACTACTGCTTCTCAGTCTAAGAGTTAGAACACCAAAACTTTCCAGCCGGGATAGGAGAAGGAGCATCCAAAATACAGAGAGCCACAGCATTGATCAAGTACCCAGTCAAAGACCACTTCCCTATTGTTGGAACTAATTGTCACTCTGAGTTTGAAGTTCCCCCCATTATTATTGCAAGGGCCTAAATTCACAGTTTCCATGTCGAAGGTTACAGCTGACCCTGAGGTCACCGCAGGCAACTGGTTGGTCATCTCTTTTCCATTGACAAAAACAGCTCCTGCAACAGAGAAGGAATGCTGGTGAGCCTACCCAGTCACATAACACATTTTTTTCAATTTCCCATGGAAATCAAGTAACTTCTGAGCTTTCTGAATTCATCTTCCGTAATGACCTGCAACACACTTCATGGACACCTTGTTAAATTATCTTCTCGCCCCTGAAGACAGAAAGTTGGCTTGCTCGCCAAACAAAGGTCCTATCCCAACTTCATTATTCCCAAGTACATCTGTTCAATGTCATATCCAACCCCCCAAATCAAAAGTGAATCACCAGAGAACTAGATAGAGAAGCAGAACATTCTCATGTCTTGGTCTCTTAGCCAGGACAGTTATTAATGGTTAAATCTCCCAAGAAAGACCATTTTGTAACAGCGCCCACTGCCCCAAAAATAGTTAGGACGCCCACATTATTTCACATAGTGTCTCACATGCACATTAGTGACACCCGTTTACCACACTGGCAGCAAGAAAAGAGGGAAATTTATTTTCTCAGTTCTCAGTTATGTACAAGTGGTAGGGCAAATCTTAAAAATACCATTATAAAGGGTTGCCCAGTTGTTTGGGGTCCAGGGCTATATTCTCCATACAGAAGCTTAATGAGATAAAATTTAGGACTTACTGATCTTCATGTATTTATAATGAAATTAAATGAAAAAGGAGAGTGTATGATGATGATGTAAAAGGAAACCAGGCCGTCAAGGAACACGGTGGCTGGACATCATCACAGCTGACACCAGCCAGAGCATGGAACAACTCCAAGAATATTGACATGCCTGTTTCCCAAGGCACTGCTTTTTTTTTGCATACCTTTGCTGACAACTTATTATTTTCCATCACCTGTTTTGGATTTCTCCACATCAGTGGTTCTCAACCTTTTTAATGCCGCGACCCCAACCGGTCGTAAGTCGAGGACTAAACCGGTCGTAAGTCGAGGACTAAACCGGTCGTAAGTCGAGGACTAAACCGGTCGTAAGTCGAGGACTACCCAACCGGTCGTAAGTTGAGGACTTTCCCTGCCCGGGAGTGCCGCGCATGCGTGGTTCTGCCCCCTGCGCCGGCCGAGGCGTATCTGGCAAGTGGCAGAGACGGAGCAGGCCGACCACCAGCTGGCCCAGCCCAAGGGAGGTAAGGCACCTGCCGGAAAAGGGGGGAAAATGGCGGACAAAAAAAAATGGCGGACAAAAAAAATGGCGGACAGCCTTGCTTGGCGACCCCCATGAAATGGTCGATCGACCCCAAATGGGGTCCCGACCCACAGGTTGAGAACCACTGCTCCACATCATACTGTAATACAGTCGTTCCATATACAATAGGTCTTAAAATGACAGAACATTAGAATATGGTAGAGATTACAGGTCAGAAGGTGGGCCAGTTTAGGTCTATTTGAAACTCACCATTGGTACTAATGCACACAGCTTTATCCCGTTGCAAAGAATCATAGCCATTGAGCTGCTCAACACAAACTCCAATACTATCTTTCCTGTCTGGCTGGCCAACTGTTTCAATTCTGTGAAGAGAAAGGGGGGGGGAGAGGAAAGCAGCTATATTTAGAAAAAATGTTAATATAAACCACGTCCTTGATTAATGCACCCTCCTTTAAAATCTCACAGTCTAGGAATTCAGCTCTCTCCCATCTGGTGTTCCTCGCATATATTGAAATACAAATCCCATATGTTGGTCTTCAACGCTTACAACACTTACCAGCTTTGGGAAAGCTACTTTACTAGATGAGATAGTTTCCATTTGCTTCAAGTCATCTTTCTTAAAGATGGAAAATTTCTAGGTTTGGGAAAACCAACTACCCGCATGTTTTGCATAAGGGAAGGCCTTCATTGGATCAGTGGCATCTTTAGCTAAAATGATACGATAGCAAGTGAAAATGAAAATCTCTGCCAGTGATATTGGAGAACTATGCCTGATAGCAATAGCAATAGCACTTAACAGTAGTGGCCAAAATTGTGGAAATCATTTGGGAAAAGTGTATTTTTTAGGTTTGATGTCTAATAACACCACTTTTCTTTTTGGAGTAGTACCATAAAATTATATATCAATGGAAAGATAATTTAATTAAGAATGTAATGCAACATAGTTTGTTCAATTATCTGTACTGTATTCTATGAAACGTTATAGCCAAATAACCAGAAAAAGGAAGCACAACTTGCTTAGGTTGATATCGGGTAGCTTTCCTTCATCTGATGGTAGCCAATGAGCATGAGTGTTTAGAGAGCCAATCAGGTGTCATCTTGTTTTGGCAATGAGCCAATCATATCACAGTAGGATTCAGTTACTGATGTCATGTATTGAAGTTAAGAGGAGGACATTTGTCAGTGTGTTATGTGATCACTATCAAGTTGGTTGGGTTTTTTTTTCCCTTTCATTTAGTGAGCTTGTAAAATGTAATAAAATTAAAGTAATGGCGCAAAGAGTTGACTGGTTGCCCAGAAAGCGATGTAAAATAGTATTAAGTGAACGGGGCTACATTTATAAAGAAATTAGAAGAAAAATTGGTGGAAACTTAACCAAAGGTGGCATTTCTACTGAACACTTTTCCCAAAAGGTTTCCACAATTTTGGCCACTACTGTAGACTTTACATATCGCTTCACAGTGCTTTACAGCCCTCTCTAAGAGGTTTACAGAGTCAGCCTATTGCCTCCAAAAATCCAAGTCCTCATTTTACCGACCTCGGAAGGATGGAAGGCTGAGTCAACCTTGAGCCCCTCAGAATCAAACTCCTGGAGTGAGCAGTGAGTTAGCCTTGAAAACTGCATTCTAACCACTGCGCCACCACAGCTCTTGCCTGATGCTCTGAACAATACAGTTAGATGAACAATCTAATCTACTATCTAGCTATTTGCCATACAGTTTCTTCTTCCTACTACAGGTATATTGGGAGAAGTAACATTCTTCCTGTCAGCATTAATTAATAAGATGTTTGCTGTCATAAAATGTCACAGTTTGTTGCTTTTCCATCTCAAAAGAATAATTACTTATCTTTAAAAAACATTCCTTTGGAAGATTCAGTTTTCTCTATGGGGTGCCACTTTCAGACTAAGCACTCCTCCATTTATTTATTTATTTATGAGCAGATGTCCCACTTTTTCATTATTTAAACAAGCCCAAAGTAGTTTTCATGAGTAATCAAATAAGCATTTATTGTCAGAATCTCCGGAACAGATCATGTGTTCAGAGGCTATATTAATAACGGTAGCAACCGGAAGTGCAGAAACCTGCAATGTGAGCAGAAATTTCAAACGACTGAAGTCACGGCCTGAATAGCAGAATATACAAAGGAAATCCAAGGAAAAACAGGAAAAATTTATCTTCTAGATTTCATTTAAGCCATTTGGAATTTTATGGTTACAACTCTGAGGAAACCCTGAGACATGTAGGTAGTCCTTGACTTATGGCCACAATTGAGCCCAAAATTTCTATTGCTAAGCAAGACAGCTGTTAAGTGAGTTTTGCCCCATTTTATGATCTTTCCTGCCGCTATGTTAAGCGATTCACTGCACTTGTTTAGTAACACGGCGGTTTAGTGAATTTGGCTTCCCCATTGACTTTTGCTTATCAGAAGGTTGCAAAAGGTGATCACATGACCCCGGGACACTGCATCCGTCATAAATGCATGTCAGTTGCCTAGCATCCAAATTCTGATCACATGACTATAAGGCTACCACAACAGTCACGTGTGAAAAACAGTCATAAGTCACTTTTTTTTAGTGACACTGCAACTTTGAATGGTCACTAAAGGAAATGTTGTAAATCGAGGACTACCTGTATTAAGCAGCAATCATAAAATGTGAGATAATCCTGTTTGCTAAGAAAAGAAAGGAAAATGGGAAAAGGAGCAAGAGCTAGAAATTTATTCCTTCTTTTTAAAAGTTACAATGGAGTGTTACCTGCCCTGTCGGAGATAAGAACCTAAAGGTAAGCAAACCTTTTAAGTGGCCTGCTTCTTCTGGCCAGTATATTTGTACAAGGAAAAAAACAACAACCTAGGTTCGTTTTAGAAGCAATCACATTTATAACAGTTTGTGCAGATGCAGTACATGTGCCAGCAAAATTTAAGCACAATTATTTCAAAAACAGGGAAATGTTAAAAACCTTCCCCGTTTTTAAGGAGTACAGGTCAGGCAGCAATGAGTTAATTCTTCCCCTCGATTTTGAGTAGACCTCAAAACAGGAACCATATTGTCCTGCTAATATTTTAGCCAGTCTTCCTTTTCTTCAGGAAGAGACTCAGCTGAAGGCTAATGTTACAAAATGGGGGAGGGAGGAGGAATCTCTTACATCTGGAAGCAATCCATAAGGGAAGGTTACTTGTAAAAAAAAAAAAAGCAAAAAAGCTGAGATTTACAATCTGCAGTTGTTTCATCCTTAATTATAAGTTGCTGCTGATACATTTTTGAAAAAGGCTGTTTTTAAGTTAAGCTCTTTTAACCATGGACTTCAATATATTTTGGTGTGGAAATTTTGCATTAAGCTTGACGTGTTCCCCTTTGATGCTACATTTAGTTCTTATTACAACTCTAGCTGGTAAGAACATAAGAAGTCCATTGTGAGAAACAAACCTCTAGGCTAGCGTTTCATGTCCAAAAGGAGCTGATTAGATGTCTCTGGGAGGTATCCAAGCAGAGCATGAAACTAATGGTTACCAACTGTGACCCAGGCATCTTTATTAGATGGATGACTACAATGCATGGAAATGCCATTTGGTTATATGGATTAACTTGTGCTCCAATCCAGCAATTTCTTGCAGAGACAGAAGCCCAAAATAGAATGTTTTGCAAGTTTACAAGAAAGCACAAACCCTGGATAAAATGGCAACCTAAAAATAAACCACATACTTGTATGGATATGTGTATTTATTTATTGAAGTTATATATTGCTTGATTCCCGGTCACATTGGTAGCTTACAGTATTCAGAGGGAGGAAGGGAACGCCAGACACATGTGAAGTTGAAACATTACTTAATGCAATCTCTGAAATACAGAATAAAACACCCTATACAACAGAGGTCCCCAACCTTTTGGGAGAAATGTTTTTCCATGGACCGAAGGGTGTGTGGTTTTGTATGCTGCCTGCATCCCACGGAGGGAGCTTTGCTTGTTTGTGTGGACCAGTTGCTGGTATGCCGCAGCCCGGTACCGGTGCATGGACCAGGGTTGGGAACCCCAGCTATACAAGACTGTTTTTGAACAGGACATAGGCGGCGACTGTCAAGATCTTCCATTTGGCGCTGCCCCGATATGCAGGCAAGGACTATCACAGCCTTTTCTAGGGTGGCATGAAGACACTAAAATGCCAAACTCCTATTGGACTGATCAAGTACATTACAAAGGTTGGGACAGACCTCTGCTGCACAGCACTGCACGGAATGTATGCGGCTATCGTTTGGGGACGGTTGCATAGCCATTCTTTTTATACAGCAGCAAATGTTAACATTTCCCACTTGAACGTGCCTTGCCTCTCCCCCCCCCTCCCAGCAGGAAGTCAGAACCAATCAGCAGGCAAGGCGTGCACCTCCACACAACATGCAGTTGGGATTGGGGAGTTGTTTGGGTTGGCCGGTCTGCAACCCTCTGCAACCTCCGCGTACCCATCAACCCCTTCGCAGCATAAAAATGTGGTAATGGCTATGGGCAGTTGTGGCCATCTAAATCGGCCATTAGACATTTATTTCTTCGTGAAATGCCAAGGCAGTTCCAAGTCGCTTCATCATTTTGCTTATTTACTGAGCCGCGCTATAGAATATTCTTCCCTTTTTCAAGGCTTAGAATTATTTCCAATTATTTGTGCGAACTTTTTAAATCAAAAAAATGAATTCCATTACTAAAAATTTAAAAAAAACAAAACAAAAAACAAATATCAAATCAGACTCCATCAAGCTTGTGCATCTTTCTTTTAGGAATCTGTAAAATCCCTTACACACACACACACACACACACCCCTATTGTGCAGTACAAATAACCAGAGCCACACACGCAGAGTTCAAGCTAACTATTCTATTGTATTCTGCCCATAGTACAGGAATCTCCCCAGAGATTGCCTTCCCTTGGGAACAGATAGATAAGGTTTCATAGAGCTTGAAGCGGGGCAGTCCTGGATCTCTTTTGGCTACAAAGTGATTCAAGGCTACCTTCCCGCTTGATTCCTCCTCCCTCCTTGCCTGGCTGGGCATTTCCCAACATCTATCCGGAAAAGCTTGTTGATGTCTTGCAGAAACAAAGTATAGAAACCAATCAAAACCAAATAATCCAATACTGATAAATCCAACAGCTTCTAACATAACCCTTCTAACCCCAACCCCAACCCAACTCTGAAAGACAAAACCTTAGGCAAAAAGGTTGGGAGGAGGGCAGTTTAGAGTGTTTTCCAGTTTCCAAAAGCAATTATATCATTACAAAGGAGATTCGATTCGTTGTTCTCTTCCTACAAGACCCACAAAGGAGCAAAATGTCAGTCTCTCTTCCTGCTATATGCTTAGGTTATGACAAAATCTCTCGCCATTATCCAAAACTCTCTCGCATCTCCCTTGGATTTTTTTTTCTTTCTTCCAATTTTGAAATGAAATCCCACCCTGTTGGATGCCCTAGGGACTTTCTCCTCCTTCAGTTGAGTATTGACCTCATTGTTTCTCTGCAGTTTGGCAAAGGCTATTGCTTCCCAGTTTTTTCATACACACATCCTGTCAGCCCCAGCACAAAAGAAGAGCAGAGCAGCCCTTGAGGAGAAAGATAATCAAGTCCACAGGGACAAGGAAGAGGAGGAGGAGGAAAAAGCCTGGCCAAGGAAATCTAGAGAATTCAAGGACAGACATTCCTCTTTGCTGGAAAACAAAGTTTGGGGTGGGCAAAGCCCAAGGCCAAGTAACAGAGAAAGCCAACATTTAAGACCAAAAGATGGGTCAGCTTGGAACAATCTGGCTCCCTAAATCTAAATGTCCAGTAACCGAGTCCTATCTTTCTTCCACAAAGAAACAGGAAATGCACTTCACTTGAACTAGGAATGTTTTGATTTCAAATGATTAAAGGCTCCCCAACAGTAGAAAAGCCCACCTAGGAAGGGAGAAACTGGTCACCCTCCAGATGCTGCTGGACTCCCAGTGGCTGGACGACTGCTTGACTTGTAATTCAGCCAAAGCTGGAAATGCACCGGTTTCCCACTCTACTTTGAATGGCTAGAAGACCAGTTCAGAGACATGGTTCAGAAAAACCAGCTCATTTTCTCCAAAGGAAGAGAAAGCTTTACTGCATCCGAGCGATCGCACAATTCACTCAGAGATTTTACCAAACTGCAAGTGCAGCTGTGGTATGTTTATCGTGATATTTAATTCCATTTTAAAATAAGAAATTCAGCATTGTGTAGGTAGTTTTTCTAGGTGGAAAAATAAATTCAATCAAGGTATCAGGTAGTTTGTTTTGTTTGTTTTTTTAAAAAAAAGCTTTAAAAGGCCACTCGGTTTTATATGCCCTGGATGGAGGGCCTTGGATATCTCTAAGCCAGGGGTCTTCAAACTTGGTAACTTTTAAGACTTGTGGACTTCAACTCCCAGAATTCCTCAGCCAGCCATGCCATGTTGCTGGTACTGCTCTAAACAGTACCAGCAACATGGGAAGTGATTATGGGGGTAGGGCACCTGACGGGAAAGCTGCTAAGGTATCAGGCGGGAAAGACACATGAAGATTCATTTAAACGGATTAATTGCTAAAAGTTTATGTAGAACAGGGGTGTCAAACTCAATTTCATTGAGGGCCGCATCAGCATTGCGGTTGCCCTCAGGGGGCCGGGTGGGTGTGGCCAAGGTGGGTGCGGCCTACTGGGTGGGCATGGATGGAGTGGATGTGGCCTACTGGGTGGGCGTGGCCAGCTCTACATCATTCGCATCAAGGGTGCCTGTGGGGGCCTGGGCAGGAGTGGGACAGATCTGAGGGTCTCTGGCAGAAGGGGGTGGGACCGGGGCAAGTGCCAAGGCATGGTCCACTTGGAGGAGCCTCACTGTTCCTCTCAGGCCATGCGGGGGAGGGGGGGCTGGATGGTGGTGCGGGCTGCCCGGAGCCCTAGGCAGCAGAGGTCAAATGCCCAGTCTGTCCCTTGAGTACCTGCGACACCAAGCCCAGCCCCACTTCCTCAAGGCTGCTGCTCAAGGTTCTCTTGGTTCCTCGCTGTTTGCAGACAGCCTTGTGGAGCTAAGACTGAATGCGTTTCAGCATAGATGGCCACCACAAAATTGTACATTGGCTCCCGGCTGGCCTGGGCCTGGGCCAGGGCCAAGGCAGAGGGGGCCGTTCCCTCACTGTTTCCAGGATGGCTTCGTGGGCCACATGAAACCACTTCGCGGGCCGCATCCGGCCCCCGGGCCTTGTGTTTGACATGTCTGATGTAGAGGAATCTTCTCAGCCAATGATCTGGCACACATGGGGGGGGGAGGTTGGGCTTAGTTTTCTTGTGGCTACATAGGGATTCTAGGCTGATTCCACTTTTCACTCTCTTCCCACATGTCTATGAAGCTTCTCAGTTGTTCAGGTCATGGTTGTCCCAAAGGGGCTGTCTTTCAAAAGGCAATTGGACTTTCTTGTTTTGCTAGAAGACGTTTTGCTTCTCATCCAAGAAGCTTCCTCAGTTCTGACTGAAGGGTGGAGAATGGAAGGATGTATATTCCTTGCAGCCATGTGGTCGTTAGCCCTCTTTCTGAGAGTCGTTGAGGGCACTTGGAGGTTTATCTGTGCTCTTCAGGGTCACCTGAATCCTGTAGTCTGCAATTTTCCCCCCCCTGGAAATCCTTTCATAGCCCTGCACCATTTAGCTGTGCACTTTGGAACGGACGCCCTTTGAATGGGGCTACCGGTACACAATTATTCAATCTTCAAATTAAAGTCTAGGTTTCATTTGTTTGGGGCTTTTTGGAGCATAAAAACCAGAAGTGATACCGTGTTTCCCCAAAAATAAGACCCAACTGGAAAATAAGCCCTAGCGTGACTTTTCAGGATGCTCGTAATATAAGCCCTACCCCAAAAATAAGCCCCAATTAAGGTAGTGCCGGTAGGGCCACCTCGGCTGTCGCTTGCCCAGCTGGTAAGTAGGGAAACAGCTAGCCGCAGTTGAAGTAGATTCGCGTCCTTGCCGCCTTTCTCCCAGGGATGCCCCAGTCCCCTCCTCCCATCCCGAGGCCAGAGTGGCAGAGTCCAAAGGGGTGAGAGAGAGCAGGTGCATGTCTGGGTGAAAGATAAATTGCCCCCCTTGCCTCCCCAGCTGAAGCTCCTCTTGCCAAAGCGTGCAGCCTCGAACAGGCCTCATTTTTAACCCCCATTTTAAAATCTCCCTGAAGGGCGCCTTCAGCTTCAAGTGATTGACAAGCTTTTCGGCGTGAGAACAGGCAAGTTTAGGCAAAGGTGCCAGAGAGAAGCGCTTCTTGCACTGGTTTTGTTTAAAAATGGTCTAGCAGCGGGGAGCGGAGCCGAGTTCTTGCGCTCCTTCGCAAGAGGCAGCGGCAAGGCAGCGGGCGGGCTAGATTGGATGAGTGCTGCAAAACGCCCCCATTTGTGGCCAGACTGGATTCCTCTCCAGCTTCTAAATGCTGGGGGGGGGGGTTAAGCACGGACAGAAGATTTAGCTGGGTTAATGAGCAACGTCTTTATTGATTCATTTGATGTGTCTCCCCCACGCCCAGCTCCGATGCCTCATTTGGGGTCAACTCCTGCAGATCCCTCAGGCAGTACTGCAATCACAGCCGGAGGAACAAGAGGAGGAGCGCTGGGGAAGGGACAACTTTGGCGCCCTTTTTTCATTTCCTCTGCCCCTCGTCTTCGATCCGTACCCTGCTCGACCCTCCTCGGTCCTCCGTCATTTTCAGAGGGTTTCTTTTGCCTCCCTCTGCACGGAGCAGGGGAGGAGGAGGAGAAAGTAGACACCAGTTCCAGTCTTCCCCAGGGATTGGGGCTGGAGGGACTTCCCGGATGGGCGCTGGGACCGGACCGCCATCCCCGATCGCTTTTGCCGCCGCTGAAGCCCAGCAGCGCAGCCCACATGGTGAGACTGTGGGTCAAGGGAGGGGGATTGGAGAAACACATGGCTTGCAAGGAGATGTGGATTGCCTCTTAACCCCTCCATTTCTGCTGCTCCTCCCTCCTTCTTGCCTCAAAATCCTGTGCTGGCCCCTTAAGCCGTCCCCCTGTCTTTGCCCTCCCACCCCAATTGCTCCTTGTCTCCCAGGTATTAATACCATGTTTCCCCATGGTATTAACTGGAAAATAAGCCCTGAATGTGTCTTTTGGAGCAAAAATTAGCATAAGACCCAGTCTTATTTTGGGGAAAACACAGTACCTAGAGAATCCACCTTGGATAACTAGAACACAGCCCAACTCAGCAAAGGAAGAGATCGATGCCATCAAATCCTGTTTGGGAAAATACAACCAGATTGATTGATTCATCTTTCCTTACCGGAATGTCAGCGTCTGGCCGCAATGGTAAGTTGGAGCCTTGGAATACAGCACTCCACCTGCCTGCGAATCATTTCGGAGGGCTATGTTTCTTCGGCTGCTCAAGCTGTAGCCCTCCGTGCCTGGAGTCCATTCTAAGGAAAGAAGAACCGACAGTAATGCAGAGGTCCCTAGCCTGGAAAAAACTTACAAAACATAATATTCTTAGTTCACTGTCGCGAAAGGCCGGCCTTTTCTGAAAATATGTGCTTTGCTTCCCTTTTTAGTTACGTTGGGTACACTTTCCAAGATAGGAAAGTGCACAAAGAATGTACAAGTAGCCCTCGACTTACAACAGTTGGTTTAGTGACCATTCAAAGTTACAACGGCATTGGAAAAAAAGTGACTTATGACTGTTTTTCACACTTACGCCCACTGCAGCATCCCCACGGTCAAGTGATCAAAATTCAGACACTTGACAACTGGCTTGTATTTATGACAGTTGCGTTGTCCCCAGGGGTCATGCGATCACCGCCTTCCCAACCAGCTTCCGACAAGCAAAGTCAATGGGGGAAGCCAGATTTGCTTAATGACTGAATGTTTCACTTAACAACTGCAGTGATTCACTTAACAACTGTGGCACGAAAAGTCATAAAATGGAGCAAAACTGCTTAGCAATGGAAATTTGGGGATCAACTGAGGACTAACTGTAATTCACAAACAGTCGGATCCCATACAAACCTATGAGCTTAACCAATGACACAAGCCTTGTTACGATCAATAAGCTGACATTTTTAAAGGAGAACTCAGAATTAAAATTTTGCTTAAAAACCAATTTTAAACTATTTCATATATGCTCTGCACCTGAAAATATGGCAATGTTTCATAAAGCTAAACATTTGTGTAACAAATGGCCTTAGCATCAAACAAATGTACCTGAATATGAAAATTAATCATACAGAGCAAACGCACGATAGCAATAGACTAGATTTGCAGGTCGAGGAAAAAAAGATGAAGCGAGATTGAAATCTTTTTATTGCAGAATAAAATGACCAAATACATACCATGAGGCACTAATGTGGAACGCCCAGTTTGAGAAACGCTCCATGGACTCCATTCCTGACGGCCGTCTCCCCGTGCACAAACCTTGAACTGATAATCGATGTTGGGGTCGATGTGCAACACCGTGAATTCTGTGTCTGAACCGATGTACGCATCTTCAAAATGGCAAGTGGTACTCTTGCGATACTGAAGTCTGTAGTCTTGTGGGATGAAGTCCTCATCAACCTAAGCAAAGATGAATTACATTGTTACCTATCTTAAACTCTTCCTTCTTTAAACATTGTTTTAATTAACTTGTTTTCTGAAATGCAAAGACTTCAAGCTTGATCGCTCAGATGCAGCAAAGTAGTTTGGGATTAGAAGCACATTGGGCATTATCAGGTATTACGATGGACACAACTGCAAAATTACTATTGTGGGGTGAGCGATTAGGCACAAAACACATTTTCCAGTCTTATGCCAGCCAGATGTGCTGGAATCCTGAGAATTCCAGTCCCAAGGTATCTGAAAAAGTGATATAAATACAGTAGTGGCCAAAATTATGGAAACCTTTTGGGAAAAGTGTATTTTTGAGGTTTGATGGCTAATAACACCACTTGGGGGGGGAGTAGTACCATAAAATTATATATCAATGGAAAGATAATTTAATCAAAAATGTAATGCAACATAGTTTGTTCAATTATATGTACTGTATTCTATGAAAAGTTATAGCCAAATAACCAGAAAAAGGAAGCACAACTTGCTTAGGTTGATATCGGGTAGCTTTCCTTCATCTGATGGTAGCCAATGAGCGTGAATGTTTAGAGAGCCAATCAGGTGTCATCTTGTTTTGGCAATAAGCCAATCAGATCACAGTAGGATTCAGTTATTGATGTCATGTATTGAAGCTGAGAGGAGGACATTTGTCAGTGTGTTATGTGATCGCTATCAAGTTGGTTGGGTTTTTTTGTGTTTTTTCATTTAGTGAGCTTGTAAAACATAATAAAATTAAAGTAATGGTGCAAAAAGTTGACTGGTCGCCCAGAAAGTGATGTAAAATAGTATTATTAAGTGAACAAGTCTAGTTATAAAGAAATTAGAAGAAAAATTGGTGGAAACTTAACCAAAGGTGGCATTTCTACTGTACACTTTTCCCAAAAGGTTTCCACAATTTTGGCCACTACTGTATTAAGAGGCAGAAACCATCACATAGAATCTATTTCACAATGTGCCAGTTATCATACAGCTATTAAATTAGTTACAATTTTAAAAGAATGCTATCTTAAACAGAAATCAATAAAGCCCACATAATAACCACTATTCATTGTATTAACCACTATCTGTGTTCTATTCTCAAGGAAGAGATTTTCATGTGAAAGGAAAGATCCCAAACCTCTTCCACATATAGGTAGTCCTTGACTTACAACAGTTCATTTAGCGACTGTTTGGAAAAAAGTGACTTATGTCCATTTTTCACATTTACAACCACTGCATCCCCATGGTCACATGATCAAAATTCAAATGCTTGGCAACTGGGTCATGTTTATGACCGTTGTTGCTTTCCCAAGATCATGTGATTACATTTTGCAACCTTTGGACAAGCAAAGTCAATGGGGTACACCAGATTCACTTAACAACCAGGTTGCTAATTTAACAACTGCAATGATTCACTTAACAACTGTGGCAAAAAAGGTCGTAAAATGGGGCAAAATTCACTTAACATCGGTCTTGCTGAGCAACAGAAATTTTGGGCTCAATTGTGGTCGTAAGTAGAGGATTACCTGTAATGTGTTTCTGCCCATCACAAAACTGCCACCAGGCTGTTGGGTTAAGCACAACACAAAAGAAAATGCCTGCGTAAATCTGATCCTGAAAAGGCTGCTAACTCACCTTGCACCATCGTACTAAGATACCCCCAGGCTTCTCGATCAGTTCTTCTATCTGTATGGGTGGTCGAGATGCTACTGTTCCATGGCTGAAGATGTAGCTTTTCATTATTGTAAAAAAGGAGTCGTCCCATTGAGCAGATAAGCTAGCCACATCAACCAGCGGTGGCACTTCAGGTAAACTAAAGAGAGGAAACGTTATCAATACACAATAGGTGAGGCACTGTTGTCACTCTGATCCTTTAACGATGTCTGGAACTCTTGATTTGATATATTTTTTAAAAAAAAAATGTGTCAGATTAATTCCTCTAGCCACTCCAATCCATATCTTCTTTATTTTTAGCATAAAGAGAAGCACATCAAAACAGGTATAAAATGTTAGGCTATGGATTTCTATTCGCCAACCCTACTTCCGTAAGGTTGAAGGCAGGGTTCTAGCATCACCTCCTCTGTACCTGTAATTTTGCACCTCGTGTTTCCCAAATGGAAAATATAAATTTGAAAGGTGGTGAAGATGGAATGAAAGAACTCTGGATTAGTTAAGTTTCTCGCCAAGGAAATATTTCAGATAATTCATTGGGCTGGTTTACTTAATACCTATCCCACCGTGGAGACAACTTTCTCCCTTAAAATAATAATTTTGAGAGTCTCAAATTTACAAGTAGTCCTTGATTTATGACTGGTCACTTAACAACCAAAGTTACAACCCCCCCCAACAAAAGCTACTTAAAGTTACAACAGACACACACATACACACATATACACACACACGGTTATGTGATAGCATTTTGGGTGCTTGGAAACCAGCTCCTTTTTACAGCCATTTGCAGCATCCTATGATCACATGACTGCAATTTGCAACTCTTTGCTGGTTTCTGACAAAAAAAAAAATGCCCACTGAGGATAAATTCTCTTAACAACCACTGCAAAAAAAAAAGTTTAAAAAATCAGGTCCGGTTAGGTGATGCTCAACTTATGACCATAATAATTCCAGGCTCAATTACAATCGTAAGTCAAGGACTATCTGTATATTCTTTTCAGCTTTGCTAGTTCATTATCATAATAATGTTTAAGATTTGGGGAGTGCTCAGGTTTTCCATTGGGATAGTTCTGTGCGTGTGGTTTGTTTGTTTATTAAATTTATAATAATCTCACTATCCAAAGCAACTCTAGTGAAGATTAGTTTACTTGGTTACTCTTTTGAAAGGAAAGCTTTTCAATATGTCAATGACCTTCTGAATAGTTGCCAAATAATGCTATCTGAAGGTTAGAAGTTGCTATTATAAGCCTCAGTAGATCAGGTAGTCTAAACTGTACCTTAGAAATGATAATTCTGCGTCATTCACATAAACTACCCTAAGTGGAAGAAGGCCTTCTACAACCCAAGGATACTTCTGTCAGCTACTGACTGTGAAAATCCAGCCCTTGAACTGTGGCTCTTACCTGTCCAGCTGAATGTGCAAAGCCTTTTTTGTAAAACTGCACAGCTTGTCACTGTTGTCCCTTGTAATTCCACCAATGGCACTTTCACCTGTAATGCAACAGCGGAAGAGATTATTACTAAGAAGGGAGTCTGGGACATCACAGCCAAGGACAACTGATCCAGAGGCTTCGGTGACATTCACTTCCCCTTTGCAGACATTCATCTGAAGTGTGTATTTATAGCCACCTTAACAACCCGTGAGGTCCAAATGCGATGGATCCTCGGATAAATTCTGATCACCCTGGAGAAATTTCCTGGCAGTTAGAACAATCAACCAGCGGAACGGCTTGCCTTTATTTAAAAGTTGTGGGTGCTCTGGAGGCTTTTAAGAAGACATTGGACAGCCATTTGTCCAGAATGGTGCAGGGTCTCCTGCTTGAGAAGGGTTGGAATAGGCCAGGGGTAGGCAACCTTGGCTCTTTTATGACTCGTGGACTTCAACTCCCAGAATTCCTGAGCCAGCCATGCTGAGGGGAAAGGGAGAGGTTTCCATGTTTAGCCATGCTGGCTCAGAAATTCTGGGACTTGAAGTCCACGAGTCATAAAAGAGCCAAGGTTGCCTACTCCTGGGCTAGAAGATCCCAAGGCCCCTTCCAACTCTGTTATTCTGTTATTATTCTGCTTTAGTGGCAGCTGGTTTTTAGGACTTTTGAAGAACTCTTTAGGAAGGTTACAATTCTGTAACTCAATGGGCTGATATGAGTGGTTACCAATTTCCTCCCCCCTACAAAACCTGAGTTGATGTTCTGCTCCTACATCTCTCTCTACACTGCTTGATGTAGCTGAAGGGAAGGAAAAGAAAGAACACCCCAGTGTCTTCCTATGTCCTCTGCTTTGCCATAAGAAGGAGGTGGATGCTGTTTCTCTGAGCCGGTAATCCACAATTTTCTGTTATGGAGTCCTGAGAGCACCAAGGACTCAGTCTTCCAATGTTTATTTAATAATCTAGGACGGGGTCCCCACCCCCGGTCCGTGGACCGGCACCAGTCCGTGGCATGTCAGAAACTGGACCACACAAACAGCAAAGTCCTATCCATCGGATGCAGGCAGCAGATGAAACCATGCCCCCTCCGGTCCGCGGAAAAACCTCTTTCCACGGAACTGGTCCCTGGTGCCCAAAGGGCGCTGATCCAGGACCAGAGAGCTAACTCTAAAGTTCACTGAGTTCATTCTTAGACAAGGAGATTCTAATTACAGAAAGAAGCAAATGTTTAGCAGGTTTGATATTGTAGTTCTAATTCTAAATATCTTTAATCAAATCGTTTCACCACTACCAAATTGCAAGATTAAAGGCAAAGCAACATGCTGATTCACATCTCTGCAATAGCATTGCTAGGCAAGATCCGTGATACAATCTCCTTATGCTCAGTATTCCCCACCCTTCATCCTTGAGGATGGGTGAAGAAATGAAGAAGAAAATGCTGACTAGGATGACATCACTACTTGTTTAATTAAGTATTATTGTGGTCTTGCAGAAGAAGGCCCAGAAGCAGCAGTGACAAGCAGTTGCAAGACTGCTGACAGCTCTGAGTTACATATTCCATCCTTGTCCCAGCTCTGTCAATTCGGGTTCTTGCAATCTTATTTAATAGCCAAAACAATTCAACAGACATCTTTAATTTGTTTTTTGGATTTAGATATCCCAGCTCCAAATTCTCAGTATATTGATAGCCGTGATAATTTTTTTGCGCATCTAGCAAATTGTTCTGAAACTTACTTCACTGAATTAAAATGAACAGATTGGTAGAACTGTAGGGTTCACCCATTATGTGAAGCCATAATAGCAATAGCACTTAGATTTATATACTGCTTCGTGGTGTTTTACAGCACTCTCTGAGCAGTTTACAACATCAGCATATTGCCCCCAACAATCTGGGTCCTCATTTTACCAACCTCAGAAGGAAGGAAGGCTGAGTCAACCTTGAGCCCCCTCAGGACCGAATTCCTGGCAGTGGGCAGAGTCAACCTGCAATACTGTATTCTAACCACTGTACCACCATGGTTCAGTAACAAGCTTTATTGAGTTTTGATTTATCTAAACCAAAATACTATGGCTTGTAAAACCTCTTCATGTGTATATGTATTCTCAGACATTATGTTTTTACAACAAACCATAGTATATAGACCAGCCAATGTGTGTATTGATTGGGGAAAAAAAGACAGAGAGAGGCATCAACAGCTCCTTCCTCTTGATCAACAACAGACATATCATCTGTGATTTATTTCTGTTCCATGGTACATGGATGTGCTTTATATGCATGCTCATTCTATGCATAATTACCATTTGTTTGATTTATGCCCTACTTTTCCTGGCAAACACAGTACTCTCTGCTTGATTTCCCCCCCCCCCCCAACAATAATGAGGAAGGATTAGTTAAATTATACCAGCTGGACCAATTTTACCCAGCAAGCTTTTACACCTCAGGATGGACTTCAACTGGGTCTTCTCAGCCTTATCCAACATCTTATTTGTTCAAAGTAACTCCAAGATTTGTCCAAGCAATTCTTAACCATATTTTTTCATTTGCAGAAGCATTATGCCAAAAAGACCAGTCTAGATCTCTAGAGAAACATGGAGTATTTTTGACAGACAGGTGGAACTATTAAGTACAATAATTTCAGTGGCTATAAGGTTGATAGAAATCCCCTATGGTCCCCAAAGAAAATGTTTTAAAGGCAGATTCTCCTACCTTCCTGGAGAAGTTCATTGGCTGTCCCAACTCCTTGTTCTATGAGCTTCTGGCACTCATCCAAGGGCTTGATACTTTCCTGTTCTATGCTGTCTACTTCCTGGAGCAGGGAGGCCAATCTTTCATCCAGCAACTTCTTCAAGGTCCCTTTTAAGTCGCTGAAATGCTGTTCCAGGACTTCCCGGGTGTGTGCAGCACTATTTTTGATCTGAAGGGAGACAAAGAAATCAGTAAGGCCTTGAGGGAGATTGGCTAAAACAGGGGTCCTCAAACTTTTTAAACAGGGGGCCAGTTCATTGTCCCTCAGATTGTTGGGGGGGGGGGCGGACTATAGTTTGAAAAAAATTAATAATTATAGAACAATGTAAAATCAAGTATAAAATGAAAAAAATGAAACAAGAAAAATGAATTGGTTAATTATTTGAATGAGTTTTTAAGTGAAGAAAATATACATTCTCAGTGAATCCACACGTGTTTTGTTTGGGAATGAAACTGCTGGTTTTTCTGCAAATAGTTTTTGAGATGTGGGAAGATGGCATAGGTTTTCCTCCCTCACTTGTTTAATGAGTATGTCCAATTTTACTTCAAATGCTTTCATATGTGAATGCATATCACAGATGAGCTTCCCCTTTCCTTGAAGTTGCACATTGAAGTTGCACATTGAAACTGTTAAGTAGCTCTGTTACATCTGTCAAAAAGGCAAGGTGCCATTTCCATTCAGCATTTCTTGCAGACATCTCATGACCCAAAGTAGGTAACATCAGCAATGCCAGAAGAGAGGGGGTTTGTGGAATGGAGGAGGAGAAGAGGAGAAGGAGGGCGACTGTGAAGATCTTGGTGCTCTCTGAGCTTGGTGGCTTTCTTGCAGACCTCTCATGACCCAAACTAGGTAACATCATCAGTTCACTTATCCCACTTGGGTCCTGAAACGTCTGCAAGAAACCACCATCCTCAGAGACCTTCCCCCCCACAGGACCCCTCATTTTAACTCTGAGCCAGAAATATTCTCCTTGATTGGCATTCCCGACCTTTCATCGCCTCAGCTCCACACAACCCCTCGCAACCCTGAAATAACCTTCCAGGAGCAAATTCTCCTCCTTTTTTCTCGCTCACTCTGGCTGCCCCTCACAAATAATTTGTCCTTTGCCCGCTCCCCTCAGACCCATAACCGACGCCCCACTCCATCAGCCCCACTCCAACCCTCACGGGGGTCAAGCCCACCCACTCGGAGCCATCACCCTTGCCGCCGCCAATGGGGCTGGGTCCATCAGCGATGGTGGGGTGATGTTGGGGGCCGGCAGCATCAGTTTCCTCTTGTCTGGCATGGCGGCGGCAGCAGCAGTGGAGGCTGGGGTTTACGTTCCGTAGCGCCTAGCGAGGGACCCACCTCAGAAGAAGCAGCAGCAGCATCGCCTGCCTTGGCTTCCCTAAGTGAGGCCGAGGCTGCAAGCAAGGCCTAAACCTCTCAGCCTGGCCCTGAAGTAAAATCGCAAAGAGGCGAGAGGAGGAGAGGAAGGGGGCATGGCCGAAGCGCAAGCACGCACTTGGGCGCACGAGGGAGAAACTTGGAAAAAAACATCTCCTCTCACCAACTCGCTGTCCCACCATTGGCTGGGGCTCTCGCCTCCATCTACCTACCCTCTCCTCGTGTTTGGACGGCTTGCCGGGGAGGTTGAAGCGGGCTGGATAAAAAGACAGGGCAGGCCGCATGTGGGCCGCGGGCCATAGTTTAAAGACCCCTGGGCTAAAAGAAGGCTCTTACCGCACTGATTTGGCTAGCAAGAAGGTGCTGAGCCTGCTTGGTCTCATCAAACACTGCAAGTCAGGTGAATTAAAACATCTTGGACTTGAATGAGTTTGCTTCGCCAAATGGCCCCACAACATAACTGAAGAAAATCAGATTCTTCCAAAAATTCAGCAACCCCACAAAAGTCTGGATTATTTTTGCTGTTTCTTAAAATTGCCTCCTTGTTTTAATCACCTTAAAAGATTCATGATTTTAGTAGTAAACGTTTCACAAGAAACCTCTAATAGCTTTGCTGTAAGCCACCATTTTCAAGTAACCAAGGTCGGATTCACATTTTAAGCTAGAAACAAATGAACCACTTTTGGGGTTTGCATGATGTGTGAATTAAGGTCCTTTGAATGTATGCAACTTACTCTAGCCAAAATATATTTAGGATTGCAAAATATGCAAACATTTAATCTGCATATTTAATACCTTTTTAAAAATCTTTTTATAATCTGTAAGTCGCCCAGAGTTGCCTTGTAGGGTAGATGGGCACCATAAACATTTAATAAATAAATAAAACTTCTCAAATTTGAAACAGAATAAAGAAAAAGGAAGAACTAGTTGGACATAAGACATTCTCATCTATTCCACACAAGAGCAATTGCACCCCCCAAATTTTCTCTGTGGCTAAATCACCCATTATGCCAGGCCATGGTTTACTGAAGCAAGCCTACAATTTGTAGCATTGTAGAAGTTGTTGAATTGCAACTCCCAACATTCCTTACTACTTGGCTAGGGTTGTTCTAAGACAGGGGTGTCAAACTGCCGGCCCACGGGCCAGATGCATCATGCCGAAACCGCGCCCACCCCAGCTCCGGCAATGGGGAAAAAGTCGCAATATGTCGTGACACGTCACATGGTGTGGCGAGTTTGACACCCCTGTTCTGAGATGCAGTTTAACAACTTCTGTAGTGCCATGCTTTAAGCCAGGAGTCTCCAAACATGGCAACTTCAAGACTCAGGGACTTCATCTCCCAGAATTCCACATCCAGCAAGTCTTAAAATTGCCAAGTTTGGAGATCTCTCGCTTTAAGCTATAAATCATGGTTTATAAATCACTACAGCTTTTGCTTGCATTGCAAAAAGCCCTCCAAATAAATCACATTCTAGCTTGGCATGATGCTTGATTCCAGATGTTTCTCTTCTCAAGATTAACTCAAGAAAAAAACAGATAATGCAGATTAAGGAACAGCAGGAAATGAATTCCAAGAAGAATACTTTAATTTCAAAACAGGTATTCTGAAGTAATTTTTCACTGTTGTTTGGAAAACATCTTCCAGAAAGAATTTTTACCCTGAAGTCAGTTCCAGGATCCCACACTCTCATTTATATCCAGTCTAGCAAGGCCACATTCCCATGACATATAAACCACAGGAACCGGTTATTATGCATAGCTCATTGACCAGAGTTAGCCTTGAACTCAGTACAGCTGCAAAGTCAGATGAAACTAGAACTGAAACCTCCAAAAAAGCAATGCTTCAAAGTCCAACTTCTGCAAATCCAAAAAAGGGCCATTTTAAAACTCATGTTAACCTTCAAGTCTAATTAATGGACCACACTCAGCTGGGGAAGGGGAGGGAAAGATGGTGGCCCAAGTATCGGCCTTCACTCTTTTCTGTGGTGTAGTATCTGATGCCAAAACAATCTAAAAGTAAGGAAACAAAGTTCACATTGTGAGACTAGGCTGAAGCTGCCATACCTAAAGATGAAGCAGACATATAAGCAGAGTGTATGCCAAAAATTAGGAGGTAGGTAAGAGGCGATAGTTAAGAAGGAACCAATCCATTAAGGAAACAAAGGAAAAATGTCACCTGAACCAGACAAAAGAAGTTGGGCCTGAGCACGATGGGAAACCGCCTCCCCAAATCCAATCAACAGCTAACAGACTTGAAAATCAAGGCAAGTGTAGCTGCCAATCTTGAGAATCAACAAAGTGAGGACTTTGGGGGATAAAAGGCATCCTGAAGCTAGTCTGCTCTTTGAGTCATCTTTGGATCACAGCTTGGTGGCTTCCATCCTTCTGGCTAATACCTAGTTGACAAGGACACAGGTAAGTGTGGATGAGTGTATGTGTGCATGTCAGAGAGAGCAAATGTACATTGCAACCAGTAAAGTTTTTCTGTTATTTTAAATTCACTAGATCTTCTTGTATTCCAAAAAACCGGTTGTGCCTCAGTGTTAGGTTCAAAGTGATTCAAGTGTGGCTATTGACCTTGTGAGTGTCCAAGTGAGTGACCATAAACCAAACCTAGAAGTGTGTGTAAGAATAACATGTATATCTGAAAATGAGTCAGTTTTAATTCCTTTTTTTCCAGCTATTTATCTATGGACCTTAGGTGAGAAAAGGCCATAATGCAGAAAGAATACAGATTAAGCTTCTTTTCTAACCATTTGGAACTTCAGCAGCATGTTGTGTTGCTATCACTAAATCACTCATCATTCATCCACACCTCAAAGAATGCCTAGAGCAGGACTGAGCATGGCTGGCTGGGGAATTCTGGGAGTTGAAGTCCACAGGTCTTAAAGTTACCAAGATTGGACACCCCAGCTAGAGGATCTATGTAGGGCTCCGGATAAAAGAAAAAAAAACATACTGGAATGTAATAAAGTGTCCTGCAACCTGCAAAGTTTTCATATATTTGTTTTTTAATTGAAAAAACCTAAAACAAAGTCAAAGTGTGTACAGAACCGGATGTGTGCAAAGGCAGGATGTGTCGGCACCATTTAATCCAATTTTTAAAATTCTGATTAGGAAGGAAATAGTCATGAACAGTTACAAGGAAGAAAAGGCTTATCATAATGACAAGCTAAGCAAAGCTAACCAAAAGTAGCTTCTTGATCTCTTTAAGTTCTAACAAACAACACAGGATGCGTTACATTGGTCAGGTTATGCAAAACTGACTTCCTCTTTATGTCACATTTGTAGGCCTTTGTAGTCCCTGTGCAGTTAGGTTTTGTTATTTCAAGTCTCCATGACTAAAAGAAGGAAGTATATGCCTCTGTACATTGAAAAGAACACACAGCGTTGGCAGGAAAGATCAAATAACTATGTTCTCTTTTTTAAAAAAGCTCTTTTAAGTCTTGAACATGAGACTATGAAATGGGTGCTGGGAAGGGTGGACATTAGAGCCTTGGAGGGGACTCACTGGTGACTTAGGGCTGGATTACGTGAACGTAATTCTTCACACTGTGGTGGATAAATAGAGTATCACATAGCAAAAGCTACAGTAGCATGGCCATGCACGACAGCAGCATTCTGTAGGAATGAGAGAGAAAAGTACAGTTAGGTCTCTTTTCTCTCTAATTGCTATTAATTCCTGCCCCATCAGCAGAAGACATTATAGCAGGAGCCAGTTGTTATCGTTGCAAGTCTGAGGATGTAGGAATTAGCTGTAATGAACTGGACTATAATGCAG